AGATGAAGACGCCACTTCGAAAAGACGAATAACTGCGGACTATAGACTCGGATCATCGGCTCTGGTAAAGACGAAGACGTCGAGACGTTAGCCAAACAAAGATTGTTTATCAACCTTGCGTAAGCTTATCAAAGTAAGGAGAAGTGGTAAAGTTTGATTTAACTAAATACGATCAACGAGTAAACTAGTACAATAAGGGATGTGGTTAGAATACTGAGTAATTGCAAAAGCAAAGCTATTTGTGGTGACCAACTAACTATCCGTTATCGTCTCGATTCTTTGGACAGGGCAATGAAGTCAACGGCTCACAACAGATGTGTTCGAAAAGAGTTACATTGTGAGCTTTCAGGTTTCTGAATAGCTGTCACTTTTTTCAAATTTTTCCAACTTTACAAGCCAAAGTAGGTTTCTGTTTAAGCAAAAAGTATACTGGAAGTACTATCTTAACCTTTTTATTTGCTGCCTACTTTAATTTTTAACGGCAGGGTATCATGTGAAATACAACTAAGATGATGCTGAGATAGTCCCAAAACTCCAGTCCGCAGATGTCTGCGGTGGAGAACGAACGCGCTATTGTTCTTTCCGGGGAGTAACGCGTTCACCACCACACCGTGCGGGTACTTCGTTTCGTCTGTCTCTCAGCTAATCTTGTCGTTTTCTGCCATCAGTCAGGAGTTTTGCAATTATTTTAGAATCTTTGAAACAAGTCTTTTTGAAATTCATAAACAGTGGCCAAATTCTACACGTCTGAGCATCCATACTCTTCAGAACAATTTTTTTGAATCTTGAATTTCGAATTTGAATTTTGACACTCTTCATGAACATCTACAAAATCTGCAGCTGACAACAATGAGGCGAAGAGTTTGTCGTTCTTTGATGTGTTCAAGACTTCAGTAAAAGACATTCAGAAAACGAAATCGTCTGATGGGTTAATCGAGAATAAAACATGATACCCTGTGAAAAAAACGTCAAAAGTGGAAGCAGCTAGTGGTTGACTCTCTGATTTCTCGGGTTGGGGCTAATCGCTTATTAAACAGTTTTTTTGTACAATCAATATCTTTTCCGCTTATTGCTAGCTAGCACGAGGTTGGTATGACACCTTTATTCGACTAACCTTTCGACGCCATCGCCTTCTTCAGAGTTGCACTGATCCGAATCGGTGGTCCACAGATCATCCTGTCAATAGACTCATATCCAGTGGATTAAACCGCGCTCGAATGAGCAACTTTACTCAGCGGTGCCCTTTTATACAGAACAGATGTTGATCTATTGCCAACATCTAGTAAGATCTGTTGCGTTTCTTGGCGCATGAAGTCCAATCATTTTGGGGAAATACCAGCATTTTCCTAAATTTTTTTTACTAATATTTAACTGAGAAGTGGACACAATTTGTGTTCGACAGATGTATTCCAATACAAAGGTCCCATTGATATTTGTCTTGGAAACGTATTTTTCTAGTCTCAAGATCGAGACATGTTATGAACATCTAAATCACGAGACATGATTTTGAGTACGATGATTCATCTTCTAAAGAAATTGCTCGAGTGCTCTGTTTACTCTGGGCTGCTTTCTCCACATTACGGAAGTATCAACCCATGTTTTTAAGGCACGGTACAACAGCTTATAAAACTGGCCAGTCGAAAAGTTGAGCTCCTACGTCGTGGGCATTAAGTTACTCACTGAACTTTGTCCAACGTAGAAATAATGCCCACACTTTAATTCCTACCAAATTCTTCTTCTAAGTCATTATCAATATTCGTTGAGCTTGCTAACTATGTGTAGGGTCTTCTCAACAAGTTTCATCCAAGTTCATCTGTTCATCAACGCGTGCACTCTTCTTCAACCGGCTTTCTTCCACACTTCTGATGGCTCTTTCCATAGTTTCATTGACTTAGGAAGCACTACCTCTGCTTCTATGATAAAAAAATAAAAGACAAAGCTCTCAACGTAGATCAGTCCTTGAGAGATGCGTCATGCATTCGACTTCATCAAGCATCGTTGAAGATGATTGAATGCATATCTGGCTCTGACTCGCGTTGGCCTACTGATGAATAGAGTCAGTGCTGCTATCTTTCCAGATAGGTTTGGTAGCAACTGGCAAAAGTCCGAGGAATGGAAGGATTCTGTGTGAGTCTGAGGAGTGGCATCGAACTCATGTGTATTCTAGGCACCTCTAAACACTGCGCTACACGCGTCCCCTCCGCTGCACACGCCCGATGATCAAAACTATTCAAGAAAACCACAGAAGAAAGACATGACGCTCAACGAGTTTTTAGAATAAGCAGAACTTATTGGGCTACTCTTGCGCCAGACAGGGAGAAATGGTAGACTTAGTGGCGCCCGCTCGACCCACACGACAATGAACAAGGTAACGGGTGATACAGGTGGTATACTGCACTTAGCAAGCGTTTCTAAGTAGAACAATTCTATTTTTTGGGTAACTAAGGCGGCCAAGATGTAGTTGGAATAGATGGAATTCACGATTGCGTTTGGGCAATTTCTAGAATCATTCTGTAAAATTCTTTGCTCTTTGTCTTTTGTAGGTTCTATGGGACCCTGTGCGATAGCAGAACATTATTGCAAGCATTTATTGCTTTTCTGAATCTTCTCAACCACGTTTCATAGACGATCGTTTGTCTGGTCTTTGGATTGGGAACACTTGCTCATCATGTCCGACGATTTTTCAACAACATCCTTCAGTTTTCCATGGAATCCTCGCTTTTATCCTCACTACTATTGGATAAGACACCACTGGCAAAAAAATTGGTGCGCACATATTTTCCTTTTCTCTTCGCACAGGAAATGTTCTTTATTTTTATTTTGTGGCTAACAGTAAACCCCTCTGATTCACAAGGGCGGCGACTAAATGTGGTGGTGACGACCTGGGGCAGGCTTTGGCCTGGCTGACCTCAGGATTCCAGGGAACCACAATGGCTAAACCAGCAAAACTACGAAAAATGGAGATTATGCTGGGCCATTCCAGCACCCAAGTAAGCAAGATTAACATAATCCTTCCATAAAGAAAACAGTTATATGATCATGTGCAAAAAAGTCGGAACAACACTGACGTCGATCAGAAACCGAATGCTTCTAATACGAATGTAATCGATCTCAGCGTGAGCCATATCGTTCAGCTATTGTCACAGTGGTGTCAGTCTTCTGGTTTCGAGAAGAGTTTTCTTTGGAAGAAACATGCAGAAGCGAATTGTTCCGCAAAAGGACCTTCATTTCCAGTGCATTCGCGTGCAGCAAATTTCCCGACTCTGCACTCCTATTCATGGCCGTTTCTATTTCTGCACTGAAGTCGTTCATAAAAATTCTCCAGCGTTATCTCTTGAAAGCTTCTCGAATTCTTAAATATAGCAAGTTTCGTGTCATGAGCTACTGTTATTGATGAATAGCAATTAATGATAGCAGTTTTTTCATAAAATGACAGAATGCTTTAAACACATACAAAGGCATGTGTTTGTTTTCCTAGTTGCTGTTATAAACAACAGTGCTACAATTCTTAAGACAATTAAAGCGTTTCGTTTGAAAGGAAAACAGTAGTGTGCATCTGCTCTCATTCAGGAATAGGAGTTCCTGACAACGTGCAAGTCATCAATACAACATCATATCGATTATTCGTATTAAACTCAAATTGAAATCGATCTGCAAAGGTAGAGAACTAGTGTTCTCCTTTATCGTTCCGGTTTTTAGCTTCTCAATTTTGTAGTGGAAGTTTCATATCACTTGTCATAAGGGTAATCGTAAAGGCAATAGCGCTTCCAAAGCCTCGCTGAGGTTCTGTGTTTTGCTCATAACTCAGCATCCTTGTGGTTGTCTTTGCATCGTACTCAGCGATGGGAAAAGAACGGCAAAGAATAAAAATTAGAACAACTGTCACAATCTTTTCTGGGAAGGTTACAAACAAATCTAGGATTTACTGCGTCGCACAGTTCACATACGAATGGGCCGGCGTCGGGTCCCAGATTCTGAACGCCGATCGATTTCGACCTTCATTTATAATATGGTGCACTAAAGATTGAAATTACTATTGCTCACTTCTTGCAAATTGTTTTTTAGCCTCGACTGAAAGCTTCAAAAAAGAGAAAGGAACACGATTTTCACATCGGCAAGTATTCAGAAAGCAATGTTGATAGAACTTCACTTTTTTAAATTTTTTTTACTTTATTTGATCCGTGTTCACGTCTACTGTGCGGATCCCAGCACTTCTCACATTCAATTCGTTGCTTAGCATCCACTGTCCACGAAGATCCTCCAACTTTACATGTGGCTTTGGTCGCTGCTTGAGGATTTTCATTTCATCTCGAATGTCATAGAATGCTGGTCGAGCAATTCTCCCTGTAGTTCTGAGATGGCCGAGCTAGGTTGTTCACAGTGGGATTGCAGCGAGTGATTCCGGTATCAATTCCCCGACCCCAGAGGAATGAAAGGCTTGGTTGGCCCAGAGCGGAATCGAACTAGCACCATGCTCGTGATGGCGGACATCACTACCACTGTGATATCCGCCCCCGTTGACGAAAGTGCTAGAAAAAAGTCATGATATTTATGAATCGATGCTGCATATAGCGATAACGGAATATTATATGAAAGCCACGGTACGATAGGGCTCGCGTGTAGTGACAAATACGGATATCGAAGAGGAAACAAGGAAACAAGAAAATGAACATGATATTACAACAAGAATGATGTTGAGATCACAATGAGATATTATTGCATGATATATCGGTGACATAAAAGAGATAAAATCATGTAGTATATATACGTAAAGGTAAAACAACAGCGAATGTAAGTGTCAATCACCCAGAGCTAAAAGTGTATGCACAGGTCAAAGCTCTATACCCGTACTTCAGTTAACCTAAATAAAATATATTTGCACAATGAATTAAGCTTAAAAAAATTATCTTCCTTCCTCACGTCGCTCATCGTTTTTTCTTTTTTAAAATGGCTCCACTTATATCAAATTATTAGACTGTGAGACCCCTGTCGTCTGATAGTCAAATGCCGCCGTTGTCCTCAGTCTCGGCTACATGTACTGGTGGAGCAGAATGCGGTGCTTTCAAATTATGTGTGCCCTAAACAATGCTGTTCTCAATCAATAGCAGCGGTTTGATCGATAATCACTCACCTTATACTCTTTTCCCATGTGTTCGACAGTGTTTTTCCATTGTTCGATTTCGGATTTGTCATGCGCGAGCACTCCAAGATAGGCACATCCAATCACATCGTCACCAGTGCAGGTTCTGAAAATGATTTCACACAATGAGAATTTGCAAAAATCATAACGACATTGTGGAGAAGTTCACTCTGATTCGGCTTTCACTTTGAACAGTTATGGAACGTTGACAAGCAAAACAATATAACAACTGGCTTAAATTTACCAAAGAATGGGTGCATTTGAATATGTTTGAAATATTGGCTAATTCCTCAGAGTATCCCTATGAAAATACGTTGCACCTTTGTTGTTATTTCCTTATTGTGAGTACTTGCAATCTTTTAAAAATTATAACGTAACAAATTTCCTCTGGGATCTCATGATTTGATTGAAAGATTACTCCATTTGGAACGCACCGATCCCACCCCACATCTAACGCACACCTGATTACAGTAAACCGTAAACGTTTGTCGATTTTCGAAATGTAAAAAGTGCTGGCATTATAGCACAGAAATTGTTGTCCAGGACCTCAGCTTCAACGGATTTTTGCCTGATTTTTGCTTTTTTCAACTGTTTTGTCACTGATCAATCGAAGGTGTGCAAGGCAGCAAAAGAAAAAAGCCATTGCAAAAAAGGAATTGGATCTAAGCTATCACTTTGATTGCTAGCTAATTTTCAATTCTTCCTTCGACTATTTGACTAAAGGACGGATGTGGTGCAGTGGTCGGAGGCGCCTTGCAATACAGATGTGATCGATTCCGGCTACCGTGGCCCACCAGACCTCCCATCCCTCCGGAGTCGGCAAATTGGTACCACGCCTGCCTGGACGGATAGCGGCACTGGTCTGATACATCGGTAGGCCACCGTCAATCATTGTAAAGGCCAGATATGCATTCAGTTACCTCCAACGATGCTTATTGAAATCGAATGCATGGCGCATACCTCAGGGATTGATCAGCACCGAAAGCCTTATCTTTTATCCTTTTATCGTCTGAGTATATCTCCACATTATATTCTTACAAAATATCAATCAATATGTTTTTTTAAAGTATATCACCATCAAATGAAGATGGCCCATAAAAACTACCAATCAAATTTTTAAAGAATTTGAAGGAATAAAACCATAGTTCCCAGGATCGACTTTCTCTTAATCTCGGCATTGGAATATGAATGTGTCGTTTTCTTGTTCAGCAATCGCGAGGTTTTTAAACAGCATACATTTACTTCCATAAAAACACAATACAATACAACGCTAGCTGACGTTTCGGCAGTATCGCCTTCTTCAGAGCCGCTTTTTCGTGACTTCCAATGAGGAAGTTAAGAACAGCTGATTATAGTCGCATGTGGTTGACGACTCATAAAACTATACACTTATTAATTTGCTGTTTCTCGTACACGCTACTAAAAGAGTTATTACGGAATATTGCCTAAACTGATATACTCAAATTAGGCCCGCGCTTTGTAAATAAAAAGGGAAGATTTCCTGGTCCTTCTTAGATATATCCCATTTGTCTCGATGCAACGAAAAATGTCGAAGTGTGAAAATTGATAGTTCGCCACCTCGTATAGTGAAAGTCTCAGCATCGTAACCCCATAGCGACTACTGGTTTGCCTCACGATTAGATTACGATAGGTGAGAAAAATGGTAGACTTTAGAACAGTTAACGCTATAAAGCAGTACGGCTGCTGAGAAATCCGACTCTTTAGTGTTTCCACAACTACTGATAATCGGTCAAGGGTTAGTGCACATAAAGTGTTGAAAATGTAACAGAGGCATACGAGACTTTGCCCTATCTTAATAGAAGTAAGTACGATTTTTTCAAGTGCTATTTCATTTTCAAAACCCGTGGTATTCAAATTTCCAAAAAAAAAACTGAAAAACGTAAATTTTCACCTTTCCTAACACAAGTTCAATAGTCAATAACATCAAGAAACACATTCGTGGGCACCATCACCTTTTGTTGGACGAGATTTCGCCTGCTCTATCGATTTGCCGTTCGAAATTCGACCGCGACAGAAAAGGGGCAAAAATATGACCTTTCAGCACCATAATGTCAAAATTTCCTCGTGGTAGAACAAGATGGCTTCCATGTTGTTCGAAAAAACGGGCAGGTTGTAACGGTTTTATTTCAATGAGTAGAATTCCCGAAGTTGAGGTACAATGCATGAGTGAAGAAATCAGTTCACATCGAGCTCTAAGGCGGTTAGTGCTACAAGAATTCAAGTAAACTCTTTGACTGATTCAGTGATTTCTACAGTTTCTGTGGTACAAGAACCTTCCAGCAATTGTTCGAAAACGCTGGTTGTAGCATATTTTGCTGGCCGCATGTGATTTGAATGTTTTATTATAGTCCTGACTACTGCACTTATGGTCACCACTGACTGACTTATCTTTGTGTCCTGTGAGAGAAACAAAGATAAACTGGAAACGAAGGGATTAGAAATTGTATTGGAAAGAACAGAGAAGACGAATAATTAGGATAAAATCATTTTACGAAAACATCCAAACGGTTTCTTTAACTTTTCGAAATTTTTTTGGGAAAGCTCTGCCACCAGTCGTAAATCAACACTCTTTTGCTGAGTTGAAAAAATAAGAATGTGGAGAAACCGAGATGATTCTGGAATAAGAAGCGATCTGAACCGAATAGGAAGCAATCGGTGTAATAAACTAAAGCGTAAAGCAGTTAAAAAGATAAAAATTGAAAAATGAGAAAAAAGAAGAAACAATGGAAAAATGAAGAAAAAATGAATGATGCTCGGCGAGTATTGCCCAAATAAGGATAAAAAGTGAAAAAAGGATGTTTACAACAAAAAAGGGAGCGGATAGCACAGTGGTAGTGATGTCCATCTTCACGAGCATGGTGCTAGTTCCATTCCGCTCAAGGCCAACCAAGCCCCTCATCCCTCTTGCGTCGGGAAATTGATAGCGAACTTGTCTAGGAAAAAAATCACTCCCTGTAATAGAATTAGGAACGCTCGAGCTCGGCTATCTCAGGACTCCAGGAAGAATTGCTCGACCAGCATTCTACGACATTCAAGATGAAATGAAAATCCTCAAGCAGCAGTGGAAGCCACACGTAAAAGTTGGAAGATCTTCGTGCACAATCGATGCAAGGAGGCAAATCGCATGTGAGAAGTGCTGGGATCCGCGCAGTAGTCGCGAATACGGGTCATATAAAAATAAAAAAGATAAAATGGGAATGTCAGAAAAAAAGAGAAATCGAACTTCTCTTCTATTTTTTCTTTGTTCTTTTCTATTTCGAATCTCACTTCTTGTTTCGATTTCCCTCGTTCCAACATCTACTTTGTCCTAGCTTGAATGTCGTCGTTAACAAAAATAAAAATAGCATTCGCCAGTGGAATTCGTTAGGAATTCCAAGAAAAAGCATGAAGTCATCAAGAGGAGAGATCAATAAATCGATCGAGTGTCCGCCACGTGTATGACATGATTAGTTCTCTATGCTTTGAACGTCCGTTCTTGACCTCAGGTGATGGTCGTGAGATCGAGAAATGTTCTAGAACGTGATGAATTGCAGCATCGGTGGGAAGCTCCAGTATAAATATATGAAAATCTAGTGATGTCATAAGCTTCACTGAACAGGTTATTTCTATGCGAAAGTGACTTTAATTGAGAAAATCTGGGACGAATTGGATGGACATCCCGGCAATTTAAAGTGAAAATCACCACATGGCGTCACTTGCATGGAAACAATTAACGCATGACGTCATCCGCTTGCTCTAAGTCACAATCATGACGTCACAGAATTTTCACCGACATTTCAACGAAGTTGAACTACCATGCTTATTTTGTATGAAATGACTTCTTCAGCACAGACAACAAATTTTTTTCTACGAGATGCATTTGATTGACCATATGAATATCACAATACAGCTTCCAACATAGCATCACGAAACCCAGCTAAAAGTAAACCAATACCAGAATCCATCACCATCCTTATATCTAACTAGTCGCATGGTGGAAAACCTCCCTCTGATCCATAAGGACGCCGGCTACCTGTGGTGGTGAGGACCAGGCGCAGGCTTTGGCTAGGCTGAACTCGGGACTTCAGGGAACAACAATGGCTTAATCAGCAAAACTTCGAAGAAATGGAAACTATGCTGGAACCCGCACAACCAGTAAAGACGAACCATCCAAATATCTAGGTAAAAAAGTAATTAAGTATTTACGTGACACTTTCACTTTCACGAAAAGAATCGAGTAATGAAAGAACCCATTACAGAGTTTTTGCCGAAAGAATTTACGTTCAGAAGACAACAGTCTTTTACTTTATTTGATCATTCTGCTACCTTACCTTGATAAAACTATCAACTTCATAGCATTATGAGTGACACAAACTGAGAGCCGATTCAGAGCAGAAAAAGACAATACGGGCTCAATAAGCTAGCTCAAAAGTAACGCATCACTAACCGTTGCATATCGTGTATGCTGATTGTGATTTTCGTTGTATCCACATCTTTTTTAGTGGTGTTGAAAAGGAACATCACCGCTTCGTTGTAAACGGCTGTCGTCGTCGATTTCAGCACTCGACTCGACTTCGTTTGCTGTTTTTCACCTTGAGCCATCGTGATTCTAATACAGACATCTGCAATTCGAGAGAAATCGTTTGTAAACTCACTCGCACAACAGTTTCTACCCTGAAATTTCCCTTATTTAATAATTCTAGCATTGAAAACACGTGCCCATTGATTGTAATCGGCTTCTCGTTACGAAAAAGTGAGCCTTGTGAGAAGCTAGCACTAGAATATTAGTGAGTCTTGACGAATGATCAAAATGACACATGTAAATAACGAAGATCCGGGAGAAATAAAAAGCGTGTAGGAGCTGTTATTTTGTTCTTAAGAGTTTGTCATATAAATTTTTACTGTGGCTTTTATCACAACCGCAATGATTCGATTCAAGTGCTAGCAGCACAACCGAGGTTGCGTAAGTCAATTTTTAAGAAAATGAACATGTTATGAATCAGCTCTTTTGAACAGTTTCTACTTGTGCTTAACCGCCAAACACCACGATAATTATAGCCTAAACGATCAAAAGCATAGAAAAGGTTCGGATACTCAGAGTTGTACGCCATTTCTAAATAAAAAATCACAACGAACTCCAATTTCCCGGTCGTTGAGTCTGCTTTCGTACACAAAATTTAAGACTACAATAGATGGCGGTTAATGCTATTCTAATGAAATTTTTAAAGTCAGTCGCAAAAATGTGATGTGCATGTAAAAGTTTAGTCTATATGATTACACGCGTGAACCATATTTGGCTCACACTCTCGCCGACTGTTTAGTTTAGGATTTTCTGCTTGACAAATTGTACTTAATAGAAACCATTCTATAAATACAACTACAGTAAAACCAAAGTGATAGCACTACAGTAATCCTACTGCTGACAACAAAACAACCACTGATATCATTCCGTTCAAATATTTATAATCTTACTGAACATTTTTTCACAAGGTGACGAAAAATATCCTAGAACGGCGTTACTAACGATTTTTTTATTTACACTCGTCACATCAATTAAACTTAAGTGTAGGTTTTCCTCGAACCTAAATAGGTGGAAAAATAACGCGTTTAAAATATATTCGAAATGTAAGTCCATTCTCCATCAGATTCAGTACTCCAGTTTATTTTCTTATCGATCCACTCATTACTGCGTTACTTTCCTTAATTTGTGAAAACTTCTTTTCTTAATGAAAATTTCACAATGCGTGAACTCTGATGTTTTCGATTAGAAAAATCTGACAGTCCAAACAATAGCTTCAGTTTCCTTTCTACCAAAAGTACAACTTCAGTTTTCGCATCGCGCGTCCTTTTTCCAGTGGAGTCTCGGGTCCTTTTTCCACCCATTGAAAACTCAATCTAATGTTAGAGATAATCGCAATCATATCCTGAACAGGAGTGAGAAATTCCTGCAAAATACAAAGACGCGTAGGAGCACCATAACACTGTGTTTACACTCTGTTTCTCTCCTTTAACCCAGAACAGTCAGTACAGTCCTTATGGTAGTTTTACGACATATTGTGGTGATTATGCATCATGTACGTGGTTTACAGCCCACCAAAACAACAATATAATGCTCCCCACAGAAAACTTCAAACGAAGATTTTCTCTCCGACTACATCGAAGAATAAATGAAATCCGTTTCTACTCTTTGCAATCCTGCTAGTTGTGTACCAAAAGTGCACACCACCAAATGGCGAAATTCGATTTAGCCATCAAACCTGTACCTAGAAGATCGCCTGAAAGTACCATTATGCTGAATGTACTCAAAAAAAACAGATTCTCCACAATGAACAAACCACCTCGTTCGGCGTTAACACAACACAGGGTTACTTTTGCTATGGTTCTTTCCATGCGTTTCTTGTGTGGAATATGCCAGAAGATTGCAAAAAGCAGTAAATATTTCGATTATACAGCACAGCAAAAACCAAGTAAACTACACCGACACCGCAGTAACGCAGTGCCCTAGAGGTGCTCCAACAACCAACACTTTTTAACGTAATGAAGAAAAATCGACAGCTTTTGGCATTAAGTTTCTAATAAAATATTCATGTGTGTTGGCACCCCTCCAGACACAACCAGTTCTCTCAGATTTGCTGCTGCTTTCGAAATTCACAATGCATTCTACTACGAAGATATAGAGATTCTGATGTTACAAGGAAAGATGCTCGTTACCTTATCGATTCTGAACCCAGTTCATTATAAAACCAACTACCGACTTTCTATTAACCTCAGTATTGATCAAGTAATTCTTTATATTCTTGTTGAGCAAACGCCAGGTGATATTTTATTCTTCATTCAGGAACAAGCTAACGTTTTGGCCAGTTCATTATGACGATAAAACGTTTAGGAGCGATTCGCTTCAGAAGCCTTCCTGTGAATCCCAAATTGAAAATCGTGTTGTTCGTAAAAAAAAAACCAAAAACCTTCTTTGAAAACCATTTTGGCTGTCCGTCGATGTGCAAATATCTCAGCATCATTAAAATTATATTTCACAATATACTCTGCTGTCAAAAAGAGTAGGCAGTAAATAAAACGGTTAAGATTGTGATTATAACTAAAGTCTCAGCTGAACTGGGTTCATTGCCGATTTGGGCTCCCCAGATCAATCCTGCCGACGGGTGATTGCTGACTGCAGAAATCGATGGAACTAGCCGAGACAGGCAAAACGAAGGACCTGCAAGGTGTGGTAGTGAACGCGTTACTCCCCAGAAAGGACAATAGCGCGTTCGTTCCCCACCGCAGACACCTGCGGTCCGGAGTTTTGCAAATATCTCAGCATCATTAAAGTTATAATCGGCTTTATTCCAATTTCGTGAAAAGAGATGACTTCGTGTACCACTTATTCTAAGAGAATGCTGTGTGAAGAAATACTGGACCGTCCCGTTTCGATCTTTTACACATAGAAAAGATTATATGCGGAATATCTACATAAACGTTTATAAAACTGCTTCATCGTCTGTTCCACACAAAAACAGATGAATGAGTGCTTTGAATTGTTAAACTGATAGTCAAAGTATATAAAATTTACTTGAGAAAAACCAACCGAAAACTGGCTTCCATTCTTAAACATCCAAATAAAGCTCTCAGAAAGTGGCTATATAACAAAACGGTATCGCAAGCCAAGTAGTAAAAACATTCTAGTTCACTGCCTCTCTTCTCATCCTTCGCACATGAAAAAGCACTTATCAAAAATATGTATGGTACGACTAAAAATGTGTGTACAGGAGAAGAGGAAAGGAAGAAATCGCAAAACCTGGCACGAAAAATAGCCATTTCCAATGGCTACGAAGTAGAAGCCACTCGGTTTAGAGGAAAACATTGGGTAGTTTCCCAAAATAATATTTCGTACGTAAGTAAGATTCTCTTTAAGCTACCCTTCATATCAAATGAAGTAAGTTACGCCATTAAAAAGTGCTTAAGAAAAAGTGGTCTTGAAAATTATGTAACGATTGTTGACATCCCACCCAATACCCTACGCCGCCAGTTAGTTCGAAACCGTCTCTATGATCGTTTGTGCAGCTCAGAAAACTGTATGATCTGTCCTAACGGGAGAGACGGGGATTGCATGAGTTTAGGTATAATATACTTGATCTCATGTAACGCATGCGGTGAGGAATATATTGGGAAACGGGTAGACCACTTTGTGTTTGCATAAAACAACATCTAGATGGAAAAGCTAAAATCCGTTTAAACACCCCTCTAGGTACGCATAGGACACAAATGCACAGCGGCGATGATTTTGAAGTGAATGTGGGGATCCTAGCGCAGGAATCAAAAACATCAACGTGCAAAACTCTTGAGGCGTTTTGGATAAATTTCAAAAATCCAAAGATGAACCGGAAGGACGAATGCCTCACCATCATGCGTGACCTGGCGCCCTATTTCAAAATGATTTTGACCCCGGGGCGTGTCTTGCTCACGACTCCACGTGAACTACGTGTGGGCCAGTCCCGCACGTAACATCACGGTGAGTGGCCTTTCTGTTCAATATGGCGTCTGTTTAAAAGTTTGATCTTCATTAATAGTTTAGCCTTTTTTCCACTGAATAATTAAAGTATTCTAATATAAAAAACGTCCAGCTCTGAGGAAGGCGAAATCGCCGGAACGTCAGCCATCTACCAACAACACCAACAACAACGACAACGACAACAAAGATCCATACCAACCACGCATCAGCTTAAGAAGATCAGTTTATAAGATCATATAAATAAATATATCAACTAACTATGTCGAGATTTATAGAAATCGGTCTTTCGAGTTCATAAAACTGCCTTTTTTCGCTCTTGGTAAATGTCGAACACTTATTGTTTCCCTTGATTTTCTCTTCCATTAGATACATAAGGTGACAAGAGCACGTGTGCGATACACAGCAAGGGTTTCTTTCTTATTTCCTTCCAGATACTGCAGTAACCTTGGTAGTCATCCAAGAAGAAGTGCGCTTCTATTGTTACAGCAATCCTAGAGTGGGCTAAGGAGACATCACTATAGATGTTCACCACTTTGAAATGTAGTATTAACAAACTTTGATTTTTATAATTCTCTGTTTTCGATCCACTATTTTACATTAGCTTTCACTCTGTGAAATTTGAGACTTGATGTCTTATAAGAGCCTTATAAACACATAGAAAAAGTATCGAGAAGCTGTGCAGTCCTAAGTTTTATTGCAAAGAAAAAGAAAACCTAAACATACATATATACATAAGCATAAATAAATCACAATGGTGCCAACATATTTGCGAAACTCCGGACTGCAGGTGTCTGCAGTGGGGAACGAACGCGGTATTACCCTTTGCAGGGGCTAAGGCGTTCACCTCCACACCATGCGGGTCTTTCGTTTCACCTCTTTCTCAACTAGTTCTATCGATCACTACCATCAGCAATCACCCGTCAACGGGATTGATTGATAAAATAAACCCGTATAGTATTCTTGTACGGAATGTGAAATAATGTTGTAATCTTATATATAATGATGAGATAATTGCAAAACTCCGGACCGCAGGTGTATGCGGTGGGGGACGAACGCGCTATTGTCCTTTCCGGGAAGTAGCGCACTTCACCACCACACCATCCGGATCCTTCGTTTTGCGTGTCTCTCAGCTAGTTCTATTGATCTTTTGCCATCAGCAATCACCCGTCAACGGGATTGATCTGGGGAGCCCAAATCGGCATTGAACCTAGTTAAGCTGAGGCTTAGTTATAATCACAATCTTAACCCTTTTTTTTATTTACTACCTTTTTCTTTTTAATGGCAGGGTATGTTGCGAAATATACTAGCTGAGAGACACGCAAAACGAAGGACCCGGATGGTGTGGTGGTGAAAGTGCGCTACTCCCCGGAAAGGACAATAGCGCGTTCGTCCCCCACCGCATACACCTGCGGTCCGGAGTTTTGCAAATATCTCAGCATTATATACGAGTTATATTTCGCAACATACCCTGCCATTAAAAGAAAAAGTAGTAAATAAAAGGGTCAAGGTTGTAATCTTAGTTCTCATTACAAATTTGACGTCTCAGCCAGCCTCATGAAGTCGTGAAAGTTGGTTTTGAAATCTTTTCGCAGTTTGAAGTTTTAAAAATACTGTACCTTAAGTTCTGCTGATCTTCGCCTCATTTTAAAAACCTCTTATTTATGGAATTATTTAAACACTATACGCTTTCGCGCATATTCCTACTTATATATAGAGCTATTTCAAAACAATCTACTTCCTACAATGATGAAAAAAGTAGATGAAAAATTTCCTTCAATTTCACTTCCTTATCGATTCTTCTCATTTCGATAGAAAACTTGTTCAGTACGTAGTAGAGAAGTGTGTTGCACTTCAAGAACATCACAGCTAACGAACTTTACCATACCTGGGGCGCCCAAAAAACGCGATCGCGGTAGATCGTCGACCTTCTTCAGATTGATCGTCAATCGTCTCGCATCCTTCTCAATGCATGACGAGATGTATACTTTCCCAAGTTTCTGAAAGGAAAAGATGTAGTATATAGGCAGTGTATCAATTCGCCGAATGATTATGAGTAGTTGGAACGGCTAACTCGTTAGATTTGTATTAAACTTAATATTTATGATCTCAAAAAATAAAAGTGATTTAAATAGTCAGGAAGAAACCTTCTTTAAACTTACGTTTCTGGAGTTTATACTAACAATAGACAATATTCATAGACTTTGTGAGTGAAAGGAGACTGTAGGGGGATATTAAGGGTGCAAAAAAGAGACTAGTCGAACAGTCTATTTGAATTTTAAACAGAAAAGTTATTTGCTAATATATCAAAAAATTTTTAGCTCTCTCATCTCGGAAACGACCAAAGACAGACGGTTAACTACTTCCCACTAAATCGCAACTAAAAAGACTCGTATGACCGGCTAAGCCGCCGCATTTTATTGCCGACAATGAAAAAACGAAGGTGAAAAACATTCTTGCCACTTTTCTATCCAAGGTTCCTATGCCTCCTACGTTTACATAACAAACGCTTCTTACATTCTCAAAAAAACTGTCGAACATCCCAATATTTGCTTAGTATCACCAGCGTCCAAACATGGGTCTTAGACATTCATTTGGCCTGTTTGTAATTTAGTAAGGTTCTCTCACTTGTTTGTTAGGTTAAAAATTCTCTGGAACATTAAACAAATTTATCTCGCCAAAGAATTTTCGGAAAAAAAATGCCATTCACTTTTATTTACACTAACATTCTATTTCCTTGCGCTTTTTGCACTATGAAAATGTCACGTGGTAAACATTAACATGGTTCATCTGGTGTTCTCCAGTTCACCCCACTGCACTTGAGCTGAACCTGACGCTAAGCCGATAGCTAATGCGTATGAAATTGAAATTGGAAAGTGAAATTATCTTCGTGTCTGTAGAATTCCACCCAGAATCCTTTCTGAGTGAATCATCTAGGCGAGAACCCGCCGATTGACGCGAGTGCATCATCCTCGTCTGTTCATCGGCTCTCTCCTCACTAACAGCCATCGGCTTGCCAGCCTCCAGGGTCCCATAAAGGGCGCCGAGTGGATTCACGCAGTGCATCACCATGCGCATTCTGATGTCACGTGCCGAACAACCAGTAAGGCGTCTAGACATTCAAGCACACTCATCACAGGCGAGCACAATAAATATACGAACAAGGCCAGTCCTTTGAGTCTTCATTCTATCCTCGACTAAAAGTGTGACCTTCATAAGAGGTAAGAGGTTATTAAGAATCCAACATTTGAGTTCCTGTATCCTTAGTATTTGTTCATTTTCTACAAACGGGTAATTAAACTTCAAATATCAACACAACTCTGATGATCACACTGGGCGCTTCCGTACATGTAGAGTCATTCACAAGCTCAACAACAAGGAATAAAAACATGAAGCGCTAGCAGCTGATCAATTCCTGAAGAGTGCACCATGCCTCTTATATTGTCAAGTATCGTAGAAGTGACTAAATAAATATCTGGTTTATATTATGAAGCTAGAGCGCGTGTAGCGCAGTGCTCAGAGGAGCCCTGCAATACACATGAGAACGATCCATGCGCCCCAGGTTCATCAAGACTTCCATCCTTTCGGGGCCGGTAAATTGGTACCAGACTTATGGAAACACTGGCTCGATACATCAATAGGCCACCAAAAATCAGTGCTTTTTATTCTCCCAGATAGGTCTTGTACTAATTTAGCTACTCTAGACGCAAGGAAGGATTCGTCTTCTAAGAGTGCGCGATGATATTCGGTGTGTATTCCAGGGTAGGGCTAAGCGATAGGAAAAATTGAAAGATACATTGTCGTGAACACTGTTTTTACAAGAGACGTCTTCTCTTTTATAAACGCACATTTTTTTATCATAAATCCGGCCTTGAAAAAGATGCTGAAGCGTTAGCCGCACAAATATTTTTTTTACAACAACCTCGATCGGCTCAGCAATATAGAAGAGTATTAATTATTGTTACCGAGGTTTAATCAGAGTCGGGTTTTAAGACAATGTTACTTTATGCACCGAATAATGAAGTACCGACGGGTTCAGAATACAATGCCCACCAAAAAAAGGAGGTCATACTCGGTTAAAGCAACAGATCACCATCCTTCAATCGACGGTGCTCCACTTCACTGGATTCGACTCGATGCGACAACGAACAACCACATTGGGAGCATGGTCACTTCGGACTGAAGATCGACTCGGACCGATCCGGCTCTGAAGAAGACGAAGACATCGAGATATCAGCAGAAATTCTAGTTGGAAGTAATCTCTGTTTTGTTAGTCCTTCCCTTCCGGCACAAATCACCTCCATTTGGCGTTCTCCTTCGAAACTCAACTGCTATTTTTAGCATCTGTCTGGCAATTATTTTTCCTGCATAGGAATTGTCGGCAAACTCTTGTCAGCGATTCGTGAAGTGTATGGCAAGTCAGAGTCTTCTGCCTTAGATTTGAATTCCTTAGGGCCTCATTTATTCTCTTCTCACTTCAGTCGCTTCTTTAGTGCCAAGAAGATTCAGTACGACAACACTCATGTTGCCCGCCGATTTGAAAAACAGACACTGATTGAAAGGTTGGAAAAATCAATACCAATCAATGTTGATCAAAGGAATTGCACATGAGGAATATTTTAAGCGACATAACGAAAAACGTTGCATTGCTGCATTCTCAAACAATGTCCGCAGAGATTTCATTATCATTCCTTGATTGCTAGACAGGTTAAATTCATCCCACATAATCATCGGTATCCAAGCAGCTGATATCAATCAACAAACGCTCACGTACACATTTTACGCTTCGGCTACGTCTATATAAGAGAAGGCTTCCATTAGCTACAAGTCGATGCACATCGAGAAAATGAAATGAAAGATCCGGTAGTGAGCTAAACAAGTTTTAATTCAAATTACTTGAAGTGGGTGAATTTGTAAGAGCCACATAGCTTAATCCCAGGATTCTATAGCTGACAAATCATAAAGTAATGTTGAAGCACCATTCGAATTCTTAGATTATCTAGTACCATCAGCATTGCTCACTCCAAAGTATAAAGAACGAGGACTTTATAACTCAAAAATGAATCTTATTTACAAGCTTAGAAAAAGAAAGAAAGACGGGAAAATGAAAAACTGGTTGAGGGTGTGATAAAAAGTACTATATTATATAAGCAGCGGCCAAAAACAAAACCCACGATAACAGAGGGCTGCCGCATTTGGCCACATGCCAATTCGCCGTTTGAGCTAATGTCATCGTAAACCAGAAATTAAAGATCCTAAGCGGAAGCGTTAAAAATGCGACTCATTAGTGACTAACGAAAAACGAATGTCGTTAATGAATGTAAGGTAGAACCGTCAATTCAATCGATTACGGATACCCATGTGGTGAAATTTTGACACGAAAGTCTTTATTGCAGCAAAATCATAAAGTGACTAAAATACACAGGAGATACCACAAAATGACGGTTCTCCTCTCGGCTAATAACACCGTGATAGTGAGAAGGAACTGTTTGTGCAAGGTCAGCTACAATATACAGCAAAAATTCGTCCATCAGAAAGCTGATTCAAGTCGAGAAAAGTTCGAGGGCACCTTCCCAATGACAAGCAAAGAGTGAACTTGTTACGCTTTCGAAGAAATCTAGGCGTAAACTCCCTCCGATGCAGCAGATAGACTACTATCAGTGGAAGCAGTAGTGGAACGACCTAGCATGATTATCCACAAATTCTAGGGAAGAAATTCGGTGCTGAAAAATTCTATCAAAGTGAAACTTCTACCAATGAGCGCAATAATAATAAAGGCAGGTCATCTAGACACAAAGAATTATGCAGAAGGTCACTTTAGCGAGAGCAACGGGAACAGAAGGTCCATCCACTAAACCGAATCAGTGCAGCCAATTCGTCGGCTTCGGTAAACGTTCAATATCCACTTCGTCATGTAACCTCATGACTAAAAGGCGTGAGATGCCTGATGAAAACGCGTAGTCCAAAGAGTATAAGAGTATTACGTTATTCGCCTAATCCACTGTTTTCTTGATGAGTAGACACGAGATTGTTAACAGCAAGGTTTAGCCAGTCCTATACTAGCCGACGTATCGGCAGTTTGGCCCATGCTGTGCCTAGAGAGATAAAATTAACCCACATTCTATTTATCTGAACATTTTCATAATATCAGTAGAAAAACATCGCACATAAATTTTTTCCTCGCGTAGCAAACAGCTTCCTTTAAACGCTCATCGCTTTGTTCTTTTGAAGTCTACCAGCCACTAGATGGAGAATAGCCGCACAGAGTCCTACAAGGTTCAAGAATACGCCTGCCTAAGGTCGGAAAAATCAACCTGAGATATGACGGTTCTGCGTAACCTTGCATACCTGGAGATGCTTTTTTCTGACCTAAACCAGACACATTCCTACGGCGACGCCGCCGAAATGTCACCCAGTATTGCACAGACTAAATATTGCTGTTAACGATCTCGTGTTTGTTCACCAAAGAAAACAGCGGTGATCAGTGCCAAAGGTAGTAGAAAGTCTGTTTTGGGTATTATGTTAATAAACTACTACTGACGGTATCATCGAAACAATCGTTTTGTAATCTCGTGTCGTTTTATTATAAAAGCTCTTAGTAAATCTTCACTTTTCACTAGAATAACACTTTACTGATAAACTCCTGCGCCCCTTAAATTAGTCTTAGTGATACGACAAGCTCATGATTCACTGACCTTAGTTGGTTGCTGCTTGATTTCCTCGATGACTTTCACCTCCTTCCTCATTTTCAACTCTCGGATTTCGTGTAATGGTATCGTCGCCTCACCGATAAGCAGATCCTTGCCGAGTTTAGCACTGTCATGGTGAAATACTGCTACCGCAACACTTTTCGTATCAAGATCTTCTATTGTCACTTGATCGAAGAAGAACTCCTACAACAAAAAACGCGACAATGAAACATTCGTCCAGTTATTACTCTCTGTTTTCTGTTCTGCTGTCTCAGTTTTCTCAGCTTTCTCTTATGTTGTTTCTTTCCTAAGGACTGCTAAAGTTCCGAATTTCTGTAGATGAAAACACTTTTGATATACTAGCTTGCTTGGACTGTTTATAATGCTTCTACAAGATGCACCTAACAGACCGTCTTATACTATTACATAATTATACTATATAGTATAAGACGGTAGAAAATAATTGAACGGGAACAGAAAGGCATTGGATCTACTCCTAGCCGTCGACCAATCTTAGTGAGATGTGACAACAAGTCTGTAATCCTCCTGTTTGATATATTCACCTAAAAAACAGTAAACCGACAAAAAATGCTTGTTGGCTGAATAATAAATCAATAGTTTTGAGTTTTGCATAAACGGTGACTCATGGATGTCAACCGATAGATCGATTGGGTTTTTTTGACTCGTTAGCGGAAAAATTATTCCCATTAGTTCACTGTCCGACAAAGTTGGAGAGCTCTGTCGACTCAATTGCAACAACCAAACCGCAAATTTTTGGTATTTATTCATTATAAACATTTGTATGCACGATAATTATCAAACACTTCATTATTTAAAGAAGAGGAGATGTCAATTATCCAAATGATTTGCAGAAAAAACTTCTTTCAGAACGTCACGTGGTGATTGGTTTTCCGCTCAAAAGTAGTTGTCTCTCTAACCACCACAATTAGTTAACTTTTACACACCTAAAAAAAGTCCCTTCCGAATAATTAAGTGGAAACGCTTGAAAAACCTCCCTGTCGGCGTAAGGGCTACTGTATTCGTATTCATTAAAGCGAACGAACATGTTCTAAAGAGTCTATAGAATCCAAGTTCGGATGATTTCCAAGGATTTCTCTATCGTGAGTTCGGAACACCTCATATCACCGCCGTAGGCATGATCAAATTGTTCGCCTCGGTGCTGGTCGGTTAATTTCTGCTCTTCATCGACTCATCGTCGTGCAGACTGCTATTCGGGATCACAAAATGAGTGGTAGCGTCTACGGAATGAAAAAAACGATTACAGAATGCGAAGGAGGGAAGTGTCTTTCAAGCGATTCCGCGTGCAATATTGCAACAAAACATTAAGCTCACGAACAAAGCAATTTTCATACATTTCTTTGCTTTGGTGATTTTTTGCTTGTATTCTCCGAATTTTCCATATGATGTGAAGATCAAAGTTTGATTAGTTGCCACCTCCAGCCCAGGAAGAGCATGGTAATAATGTTTTAAGTTCCTCCGCCCCTGTTGTCACCAACGTTGAGTTTTCGAGTGGATCTCTGCTATTGTGCGAGAGATCCACCCAATTGTGAAACACGCAGTAGTGGTTGTTTATTCATAGTTGGTGCTTTCAATCCCCAAGAATGAAGTTTCTTTACATCATGGTTAACTCTTCAGCAAGTATTTAAGTCTCACTGCTCGTGGAGGTCTCGATTTTTGCATAACTAAAGCAAAAGAATTCAAATATAATCCACATGAGAATGGATACGAAAGGTTTATAATCAGTCAGTACTGGACATTTGTGGCAAGTATCTGCAGGGTTCATGTGAATAAAACCCTATCGCATTAAAAAGTCGTCCTTTACATGGAAAGCTTTTAGGTGGGAAAGTCTTCCGTCTGATAAATCTAGCTAAGCAACAGGGATACTTTCTAATATCCGGTCCATTTTCCTATGATAAAAGAGAAACCAATAGAATTTCAGTTCTAAACCTCAGATTACTCACTATGAGAACGTTATGTTAACACTTGCGATAGCATGGTCACAACCAGTACACTGGTGGTTCATCAAACTATTTTGCAGATTTCTCTCGGTGATTCACGAAGAGCAGTAGAAATAAAATCGATTGCTATAACTCTCTCATAGTCGCTAGAGAGGAGTCTTTTCACCGACCATTTAGAAAGTGCTCCTAAAATAGCCATTCCTCAATCGCAACTCGTAGGAATTTTTAAGAAAACATAATTATGTGTTTTTTGTGCATCTTCTGTCTTCAGGTAAATCAACATATGACTGACATTCCTCAAAATCCAATTTACGAAGCGATTCGTCCTTTCCGAAGGAACTTTACATGCCAATGCCAGGACAAGATCCCGTTCTTTAGTCCTCTCTCATGCTCAGACTTCACATTTTGAGTCGTTTTCTAGTTGCCAAAACAGACAATAACTCTTCCATGGCTCGGAATTTCCGTCCGGGATTGGTTGCGACGTCGACGAACCACTTTGAACTCTTAAAAATCTTTCCAGATTCTTAAACCCATTCCAAACTTCACCTAAAATCTTTCATTCAAATAAAATACTTCTTTACCAGTTCAAACCAGCATAACTAATTCTCATTTTTCCACCCAGCTGGACTATAGAGACTAAATCCAATAACACAAACTGAGCTCAAGAAGACAAATAGACATTGCATCAGAAGGCTCTTTTAGAGGATGTGGAGATTTCCGGAAGAGAAGCACTCCAAGAAATATGAGACGTTACATAGAAAAAATAAACGGGATTGTTAAGAAGAACGGAATGGAAAGGAAAAGAGAGATTAGCGACAAAATGGTGGCAAAATGACAAAGTGGCCGTCTCCGAATTGCAAGCATGACGGGATTAAAAATAGAGCAAAAAGCGAGCATGAGTTTAATCAGAAATGCAGGCAGATTTATGACATAGGCATGACGTCTCTTTTATCTTATATTTAGTTACACTTTTCAGGTGCACATATTAATATCCATAATATCCATATTAATATCCATAATATCCATACATACAAGTGTTGACGTACTCGCAGTCAATTGTACCCAGTATTCACTCGATTCGACCAATGGCTAGGAACTAAAGAGGAAGCAATTCCGAGTTCCACTCTACAAATAAGCTCAATATAAGTTAAAAACAAAGAAGTCCCATAAACGAACCCCATTGGGCTGCTCACGTGTGTGGTCCGTGGATGGAAACTTCATTGTTGCCCATTAATGCTTCTCGGTGGTTAATTCAGTAACATTAAAGAAAAGGGGTAACTCAAGATATTCGCAGTGGATACCATATTCATAGATTTAAAACATCGGACTGTGACCATTTTCATTTCTTTCAACTCTTTTAACAAAACTGCCAAAGAAAATCAGTGTATGAAATTGTTTGATTGTTAGGATAAAGAATAGAGTCAATCTTATTGCAAAATCTCAACAAAAATGGCAAAAGCTATCCATCTTTGTGAGACCCATTTAATTCCAAGCAGTTTTTTCTTTATTTCTTCAAATGATAACATGTTGTTTACCGAATATACCAACCAGCACTGAACTACTCGATGTCACCAGATTCTTTGTAGTATTTGTTGACTTCAGCCGACTCAACACTACCGACGAATCACGTGGAAGTATAATGTGACATTATACTTCCACGTGATTTCTGTGCGATTGGTCTCTACGTGACATACTTAGTGGAAACCTCATAGAAAGCGGCTCTGAAGAAGGCGAAATCCGCCGAAACGTCAGCTTAATCGTGAACAAAGAATAGTAACACCTCGCGTTTGCTCAACAAAAATACGAAGAAAATCACTTTAGATATTGTGATTTATCCGAATTAATCATAGGATAGGCTACGAAAATAGCTCCTGATCTAGTTAACTGTTCACTTTGATGCTAGGATTTTTTATACTGTGAATAACGTCTGCTATAGAAAATTCTCATCGAGACTTCAACATTTAAATGACATTCGAAAGTAGATCATTTCATGATAAAAATCATGGAAAATGAAATACTTCGAAAGCGCAAAAGGTTAAAAAAGTGTAAAATTACTTGACATTTCTAGGTTTTTCGCATCATTCCCTGCTCGCCTGCCTCAGTTTTCAGCTCAAAGTATGGGACATCGTGGGCGTACATTATTTACTAAGCATTTAGTGACGAATCCAGAATGAAATTGCTAGAGCAAACTGAAATGACACGCATTTGTGCGCTGGATAGAAGTTCTTCCTTCCGATATTAGCACGGATGCTAACTAGAAGGGACTTTTAAAAAATTTGTTTGATTTAATTTACTAGCATCAAGTCTTACTTGAACAAATGAAATGTCTGAAGAATGAAGCATCATTTATCAATGTGTTCTGTTATATTATTTCACGAATCCTAATTGTTCGAATTCGGCTTCTAACAGATCGATAAGATTTCTGAAAAGACGCTACACGTTTCATTGATTTTCATTTGGCCAGATATATGAAAATGAAACGTCTTAACGCATGGTTGAGCCGTTTTCTTCCTAGGGTCTCTCAGTGTTTCCGTATTCGATTCCTCGTTACTAGTGAGTTTAGTGCATCCGAGCAATTTTCTTCGTTTTATTTATGCAAGTAACTAGACACTTCAACGTTGTCAACATCCTCCCTGTCAGAAAACAAGCGCTTAGCCATGATTACGATTAGAAGCTATTAGTGAGGGAATCGTAGTAGCAGCCCCTCAGTTCTGAATGCATAACATGGCGGTTCTCAGATATCAGCAAGCGCAAGCCACATCGATCACCATAGTAACTAATTCTTTTATGAATACCAACACTAAGCGACATGTGTAGAACGCAAAGTGCTCGTGGTGATTTCTGCACTAGTAGTACTTTTTCCTAGCGTATAAGAGTAGGTGAAACAAAAAAAACAAAAGACGAAAGGAAAAGAAACGCTTCTAAAATATGTATCTTATTGCTGATAACGAACTATGAAAACAAAATAAAAGGGAAATTAGACCGCAATACAATAAGTAGTAATTGAGCAAACATACTCCTATAGAAATTTGACATTCGCAGAAGACTAGAGCTTAAGTTGATACTTCGCTGGGTAGCACCGCTGTGAAAAGCTCTCACAGGGTAAGTAAATAAGGCCTTTATTGGCCTTCTATTCTAAACAAAAACGCAATAAAGCAACGACAAAAAATCTGATCTGATCTGAAGATCCCAAAGATCCTGTTAAAGCGCTTGGATATGGCATTATCGTTTCTTAAAATCTCTATGATTTTCATCGATTGATGATTTTTTGAATTTTTTGGCTTTTTTTGATGAATTTTGATGAGATGGATAATTTTTGAGCCAGGAAAAAAGGTGGGGGAAGTCGTGGTCAACGTAGACAAGACTTTTTTCTCAAAGACCAAAGCCTACTGAAAGTAGAGTTTACGCGTGTAGAAACTAATTATATACCAAGTACTGAAAATTTGTGAACTTCGTAAAAAAAAATCCTTCTAAATTTTTTACTTTTTCTTCGTAGTTTCTCAGCTTCCAGGTGTCTCAACAACACTACTTCTTTCTTGTTTCTTATAATTTCTTCATGGACTTGGTGGCTTTGGATTAATTGGGAAATAGTAAACAACTTGTTAATTCCGATGAAATCAATCACTGTGTAAGACAAATCCATAGACTTACTTCTATCACTGGAAGTATTTCATACCCATAAAAGAAGACGAAGCAAAGTCGTTGTTTTTATTCTCAGTTTTCTGGCCGACAAAACTAGGTATCTTAACTCTTTTATTTACTGCCTTTTTCTTCTTAATGGCAGGTTATGTTTCGAATTATAACTCGTATGAAATGCTGAGATATTTGCAAAACTCCGGACCACAGGTGTATGCAGTGGAGAATGAACACGCGCTGTTGTCCTTACCGGGGAGCAGCGCACTTCGGGTGAAGGACCCGGATGGTGTAGTGGTGAAGTGCGCTGCTCCCCGGTAAGGACAACAGCGCGTGTTCATTCTCCACTGCATACACCTGTGGTCCGGAGTTTTGCAAATATCTCAGCATGTCATACGAGTTATAAAACTACGTATGTTCCCAAGGTGTTGGTTGAAAAAAAGAAAAAAGAAAA